TGCCCCACCGCTCACCTGGGGGACCTGGGGACACGCACCCACTAGGTCTCTGCCCCACCGCTCACCTGGGGGACCTGGGGACACTCACCACTAGGACCCTACCCCACCGCTCACCTGCGGGACCTGGGACACTCACCACTAGGTCTCTGCCCCACCGCTCACCTGGCGGACCTGAGACACTCACTGATTCTCAGGCCTGGGTTTTCTCTCCCGAGACGTGAGCAGGATAACCCCACTGCCCCCACGTAGTCCAGCAGTCAGGTGAGTGTAAGATGACATGACTGGCATATGCTGTCACTTCAAAAAGCAAATTTTCTACCAAAAAAAGTGTAAGAATTTTAGAAAGTGCTGTGGAAGTGGAAGGGAAGGTCATTGCTCTTTCCATGACTGCTCCTGTCCTCAACTCTATCGTTCACAAGTCTGCCTGCTAGCCAGTCCAATGGGGGCTGATTCTTGTGGTTTGGAGCAGACGCAGCCTGGGTGGGGGGCTGAGCACGAGCTGAATGGCAGCTCCTCTCAGGGACCTGAAGGACTAGAGGATATGGGCAGCTGGGGAAGGAGACTGAGATGGGTGAGGTTTTTTCTGCAACTGTAGTTACCACCAGAGGAAAAGTCAGAGAGCAGGCAGGGAGCCTCTGGAGCACTTCCTGGAGGAGGCAGCTTGGATGCTGTCAGGGGGAGAGTCCTGACCTGAAATAACTCTGTGACTCCCTGCTCCTGAGCCTGTCTGAGGAGTGCCCCTCCCTGATCAAGGCTCACAGCCTCTCTGAGGTGTCCCGCCTCCCTGATCAGGGCTCAGTGCCTCTCTGAGGAGTCCCGCCTCCCTCATCAGGACTCAGTGCCTCTCTGAGGAGTGCCCCCTCCCTGATCAGGGCTCAGTGCCTCTCTGAGGAGTCCCACCTGCCTGATCAGGGCTCACAGCCTCTTTGAGGAGTCCTGCCTCCCTGACCAGGGTTCAGCGGCCTCTCTGAGGAGTGCCCCCTCCCTGATCAGGGTTCAGAGCCTCTCTGAGGTGTCCCGCCTCCCTGATCAGGGCTCAGTGCCTCTCTGAAGAGTCCCGCTTCCCCGATCAGGGCTCAGTGCCTCTCTGAGGAGTGCCCCCTCCCTGATCAGGGCTCAGTGCCTCTCTGAGGTGTCCCGCCTCCCTGATCAGGGCTCAGTGCCTCTCTGAGGAGTCCCGCCTCCCTGATCAGGGCTCACAGCCTCTCCGAGGAGTGCCCCCTCCCTGATCAGGGCTCAGTGCCTCTCTGAGGTGTCCCGCCTCCCTGATCAGGGCTCAGAGCCTCTTTGAGGAGTCCCACCCGTTGACCAGGGTTCAGTGGCCTCTGGAAGGGTGTGCTTGATCTTCCTCCCCCTCCCCGAGTCAGGAGGTGGCCTGGGATGGTCTCACTTGCTGGTGTGCAGTTGGGCCTGTGTGTCTGCAGTGGAGCCCCCAGGGTCTCCTCCAGGAAAATGCTGTTGTTCCGGGCCAGCAGCCTCAGGGAGAGACAGCAAGGCAGGCCCTCCAGGTGTATGAAGAGATGGCCTTGGCCGGCCTCTGTGCTGCTGGGGATTCCGCCCCATGAATCTGGACCCGCGGCCCTGTGCCCACATGCTGGCACACCTGCTGGCCACGCGGGTGCATTCGTGGCCTCTCTGAGCTGGCCATGGTGTACGTGTC